GCAATGTATCTCCTCCCTTTTAATATAAAATTTTGTAAAGTATGTTATGTTACACAATGTAGAACATTTTTAATTTTACATAGATTTAAGATCGTAAGATGAGTGAAGATAGATGGTTGAGATTAACAGTAGTAAATGAGAATATATTTAATTAAATAAAAAACAAGAAATCAATCTCAACCATCTATTTTTGGTCCACCCGACCCAACTCGAGAACAAGGAATCATCCACCCGATATTCGAACCAACCCGACCAAAACAAGAATTAACTCGACCTGGTATATAACTTAAAAATCCAACCCGACTCGACCCGAAATAATAATAAAAATAGTGATTTAATTAAAAATAATAATAATATATAGAGAATTTTATTATAATTATTCCTAAATATATAAGGTAAAATTATATATTTTTCCAGGTTGGGTATTTTTTACTCTAAACCATAACCCGATTTTTTTAAAAAACCTGAACCCGATTTTAAAAAAAACGATCCGATTTGACCGGGTTAGAACCCCTCGGGTTCGGGTCCATGCCCATCTCATGGGGAGCTTGTGTTCTTTCTCAGAAGCTGCAAAAAATTGATTAAAAGGAAGAACTTTGAATAGTTAAAAGTATATGATAAGGTTTATGTACGTTTTACAACGAATGACACTTTGGAAGACGATGGCTTGCTCGAATGTCGGTGAATACTGAGTACCCTTCGTGAAATTGCCACTGAAACTCTACTTTCCTATCAACCTATTGAGTACAAATAAGTTAATAATACACGAACCAATTTATCTCAATGATTAAAAGAATCGTTGTTGTTCTTAAAGGTCATGAGTTTGAGCATATACGACTGTAAGATAATAGAACATTCATTATCAAATGAATAAGAGTACTGAAACCCGAATTTTAATTCGATTTTGTTAATGCATTTACACTTCTAAATGTACCTGGAGAGTGGAAACACAAAAGAGACACTGGTGCTATATATATAGCTAGCGAGGTAATTACTCAAGAGTGTGGGTGTTTGTAGAAGACTTTTATTTATGTTATAATATGATTTATTATTATAAATTAAATTTATAGGCTGCGTAAAAAAATATGATATAAATGAATTCTTATATATTACAAACTTAAAAAATAAATCAAATTGAATTGGGGATCAAAATGAAACAAAAACTTAAGTTTAGTGATGGTTTTGAAAAAAATAAATTAGTTGAGTGACCAAAACAGGACGCCAAGAATAATTGAGTGACTAAATATGTAATTTAACATTGTGTTTTTTAACATAATTAACCGTTCGAGACAAATGAGATAACGATTTAAATTTCAGGGACCAAACGTCTCGAAAAATACTTTATGGGATAACTCGATACAAACAATATAATTTAATGGGCAATGGCACATTTAAGCCTGAGAAAAAAAATGATATAAAGAGTAAACTATACATATAAACATTAAAAATTTTTCTTTTCCATTTTGACTATGACTTGTAATTTTGTCAATCAGATTACTTAATTATTTAAGTGTTGTTAATCAAGCCACTTGCCACCAACATTTAACAGAGGAAGTGACATGACTGTTAAAATATTAATATAATTACACATTTGATCCTTACTATTTACACATTCTATCAATTTAATCATAATTTTAATTCAACTAAACAAATTTAATACTAATTAAAAAGTTACATATTCGATAAGAAAGCAGTTACAACCTAAAATATTGCATGAGTAATAAATTTAATTATATTGAGGAACTCATATAACATTGTAGATTGTAATTGATTTTCTCATCAAATATATAACTTATTAAGTTGTAACCATACAACAGTTTAAGTTGATAATCATTAAACTATTATAAAAATCTCATCAAACATCTCAAACTTAACCGCCTTTTTTTAATATTTATTTTAAGTGACAATCATTTAAAATATATATTATAAAAACACTTCGAATCGATTTTAAGTGAACAATCAGCTTATCTCAGTAGTTAAAAGAATTATTGTTGATATTAGAGGTCATAGGTTCATGCTTCGATAATTTTTTTATGGTACAGATATCATGCCCAAGTATCGATATCTCTACATAATATAATATAATATCAAATTAAACTTTAAAATTTTTAAAAATCGAACATAAATTTAAAGTATCGATACATCTCATATAATATCGTTATTGTTTTAAAGTTTGATATTTTAAAAGTTAAATTAAATAATTTGAGTATCGACTGATATCTTTGAACAAATGAAGATTATTAAAAAAATACCTTTGAAAATATAAACGTGTTCCTAAATATTATATATTTTTTCTAGCTCTCGGTTCCAAGGTTTCGCCTTGACTTATCTGGACCGACCCGCGTCGCACACCTGACTTTGGTGGGTGAGTTTCCTAACATGGAATTTCTACATATACAATGACTCGAACTCGAGAATTTACTTAAGCGATATCAAGCTGCTTACCTTTTTTTTTTTTAGGAAAATGAATTTCATATATTAACCGTAAATGGCATCATCTAATACATCATTTGTAATACAAGCCGGTTTGTCAAAATCAAACTCTAAAGACTGATGACAAGTAAAAGCCAGTTCGGCAAGTGTGTGAGCTACTCTATTTGCTATATGTGACGCATAAAGGACCTGGATTTCGGGGTATTGTGCCAATATAGAGTGGGCTTCCTGTAGGTTTACCCCAACCAGAGACATATCCACCCCGGGGTTGGTCAGACGATTCACTATAGATATGGTGCAAAAAAGGCTTGTGCTTCAGCCATTTCGGCAGTTTGAACCCCTACTAAAGTTCGAGCTACTCCAGCATAAACCAATCTGTGGTTGCCTCTCGCTACCACCCCTATTGTTGCTGTTCCAGTTGAACCCCAAAAGCACCGTCTACATTAATTTTCATAACAGATTACATGGGCTTTTTTCATAGAGCAGATCGATTCAGTGGCACCTGTAGGTCATCTCTCCCATGTGCCAGCTTAAATTCATAGCTAAGAATCCTAGCATGATCGACCACTAATCTCGCTGGGACCAATTGTTCTTCGTGTACCCATTTGTTTCTCCTATTCCATAAATTCCAGAGTAAGACCATCATGAAGGTGAAACTTTGAAGATCCAAAACTTGCAATGCGTTTTCCAGCAATTTTTTACAAGTGCTTTGAGTTCCATTAGCGACTTGCTGATCAATTGCTCCATACTCAACCTCCTTAGCCTTTGTGCAGTCTCGAAGAGCATGTAACGCACTTTCTCTTTCTTGAGTACACATCTTGTAGGATCCATCATCAAGGCTGGCAGCAACTAATTTATGGCCAATGGGTAAGGCATCATGGCATATTCTCCATCCAAATAATCTGATTTTTGCTAGTGTATGTAACTTTGCTAACGCCTTCCAAACCTTTGAAGTATCTCTCTCGATGTTGTTGTGCTATAGAAGCCAATTATAACCTGATTTTGTTGAGTAAGTCCCCGAGGAGTGGTGCTCCCAAATCGACTCATCTTCATTGATTGGTGAAATAGGGCATGCTAAAATTCTTAGCGCGTCCTCTGGTTGAAAGACTTGGAGTACTTGCCTTTCGTTCCAAGAGGGAATTCCTGGTAACATAAATTCCCCACATTTAGTTGGGTTTGTCGGATTATCGATATAGGCACCAGATAACTCCACACAATGTGTGTCGCCCCATCTGTTGTCATGCATACGAGTAGTGCTATCGGTGCCAATCCTCCAAAAGTACCCTGCTTTCAAAAAATTATTTGCTTTATGAATGCAAGACCAGCCGAATGAAGGTCTGTCTCTTAACTTTGCTTCCATGATATTACCATTACGAAAATAGCGAGCTGATAATACTTTGTAGCAAAGAGTCCCCTGGTTGTGCATTAACCTCCAAACTTGTTTCCTAAGTGATGCCACATTAAACAGTTTGAGATCTTTAAATCCTAGGTCACCATCTCTTTCCATGCTACATGTGCCCAACCTCTCTCGTTCGCTTTTCCCGACCACCAGTAGCTTCTCATTGTAGCTGCCATAGAGTCAATTAAACCATCGGGAAGCAAGTAGCAAGTCATGGCATAAGTAGGTAATGCTTGTGCCACTGTTTTTATCAGTACCTCTTGTCCCCCATACGATAGAAGATTTTTTGTCGATCCCCGCACTCTTTGATCCACAGGGTCTCTTAGGTAACCAAGGGCATTTGTCTTGTTTTTTCCCACTATCAAAGGCAAGCCAAGGTATAAACCAATATCTTGCTCTTCGCGGAATCCCAAAGCACCAGTGATCAAACTCTTGTTGTGGTCGCTTGTGCTGTTGCTAAAGAAAATCTGGGATTTATTCAAATTCACTTTTTGCCCCGATGAATTCTCGTAAATTTCAAGCATCTCTTTCAGTCTACGAGCCTCACTTTCTGAGTTCATTATGAACAAGAGACTGTCGTCCGGATATAATAGGTGCTTCACTCTTGGTCCATTTCGGCTAGCTCTCACCCCCTAATACGACCAGCTCGCTTCTCTGCCAATGGTAATGCCGAAAGACCCTACGTGCACATTAAGAAAAGGTAAGGAGACAAGGGATCCCCTTGACGTAACCCTCTCCCCGGCCTAAAAAAAACTGAAATTTGACCATTAATACGTATGCAATAAGAAACCGAAGAAATGCATTTCATCGTAAGATTGTTCCATATATCGTCAAACCCCATTTTCAACATAATATCATTAAAAAAATTTCATTCAACACGATCATAAGCTTTTTCCATATCTAATTTAATAGTTGCACCTTTATTCGGCCCATTTTTTTTATCCTTTTAAGTAATGAAATATCTCATGAGCTACCAATATGTTATCCGAAATGAGGCGCCCATTTAATATGCTCACGTGACTAATTATGTCAAAAATTTCTAAATAATTTTGAAAAGAAATATGCTTTTGGGCTTTTCCTTCTTCACCGCAGTACGACAGCGTTTAAGGACAGGCTGGCCCTCCTGAAACTGAAAGGCAAAAGAAACTTCATTAAATAGTCGTCCCAGATCCCCCAAATCATTCCCTCTTCAGAATCATCGTTCTACCCCAAATTTGTTCCCTTCTAAAACCCTAAATCCCCAATTTCAGCAATGTCGATTCCTCCCTCTTCCGCCACAAATCCTTCTTCTTCATCCTCGTCTCAATTCACCTACCAAACGACGACGAATCCGCCGTATTTTCCTTTGCCGTTTCATCTCCAGCAACAGGCCCAACCCTACGCCGCCGCTTCTCAGTCCGTTACGGCCGCCCCAGCCGCTGCCTACCCTGCCGCCGTCGCTCCCGTACCTGGCGTATATTCTCTCCCTCAATACCAACAGGTCAGCAGAGCAATAAACTAGAAATATAATTTCAGTTTTTATTTGGAATTTGGGATTCATGGAATTTACGAGTTGTTTTGGGTTTAAATTGTTTCAAGAAAAAATTGTTAGCTTGGAAATTTTCTGGGCCATGTTATTGAGAATTGAATTCAAAATTCAAACAAGAACAATAAGTTGCATTGGATTGGCGGAATAAAGAGTTGAAAATTGAACAAAGAATTTGAGTTTTTAGTTCAAATTTTTTATCATTATTGCTAGTTTTATTTTTTATTAATTGCTAATTTATTGTTCTTTATATGTATTTTGGATGAAGTGCCCCCCGAAACCCTATTTTTATTTTAAAGCGGTGAGTCTGAATACATTATTCACCTGTGTAATAAATTGTAGTATATTTGGACAGGCCCAACAGTTATTTCAAAGAGATGCTCAAATAGTTACCCCCGAAGCACTAGAGAGTGTAAAGGCTGCTCTTGCAAGCAGTGAAATTGAACACAAAGCAGAAACTAAAAAGAAAGCAATCCCACGGAAAGCTGCTGGTCAGTCATGGGAGGATCCAACGCTTGCAGAGTGGCCAGAAAGTATGAACTATCAACTGTCATATTCATTTATCCCACAATTCTCTTTGTTTGTTTACAAGTTTTTTCCCTTCCGAATGTGCTATTTCTGTTGTTAATATGCAGATGACTTTCGCTTATTTTGTGGTGATCTTGGTAATGAGGTGAATGATGATGTTCTTTCAAAAGCTTTTGCACGTTTTCCATCATTTAACATGGCTAGAGTAAGCTTTCTAATTACTTGATTCTTTTTTAAAATTTTCCTTTTTATTAGCATTGTTTACCCCATGTCTATCAACTCTTCGCATTTGCTGTTCAGATTTTTGTATGAAGTGCACAGAGCAGTTATTTGTTTGAGTCTAAGGTAGGTTTGCCTTGAACCTGCATGTCTGCAAATTAATAGAATAATCCATTTTATTTCATTAGAATTCTTTGATCCTGTCAAAATTATAGACATCGATATTAGATGTTGACTGCTGGATTATGACTTACAGGGTTTGAGTAAGGTCAATTTGACCTGACTTATGGAGTAGGCAGTAGATTGAGTCATAGCAAGCTGAATAGATTTTTGAACTAGTCTGAATAGATTGGGTTAAGAATTTAGATAGCTGTCCTGGTGTTTTCCTTCATCTAGTCAAAGATATTGTTGCCATGATAAGAGTTTTGGAAGGAGCTATCAGATGGGTTGACAGAATGGCAAACATAGAAGCTGATAGCTTAGCTAAGGCTGGTATTGGGTAGTTATTGTTTGTTGGGTTGGGATATTGTTTAATTGAGTGAAAGATGTGTTCTTTGGTGTGTTTCGGGTTGTTTTTGTAAGGGGCTTCTTTGTTTTAAACATTATGTAATCTTTTACTTATTAATGAATTATGAGGCACTCTTTTTCTCCTTCCGCTGATTATGGAACACCAATTGGTGTTCTGTTAATCATGAAGGGGGTTTTAAACGAGGCCTTAACTTCCTATCAAAAAAAAAGTTTGATGCCCACCTCCTGTCTAGCCTTAAATGGGGGAAACGAGAAGTGCATGGTTTTCCCTTTATCTGTTAATTTTTATTGTAGGCGTTGAACTTGAGATAACCTTACACTTTTTTGTCTGTGAACTACTATCCCATATCCCAACAATGTTTAAAACCCTTGTGCTTTCACTGGTCCTCTGACTCAAACATTGTGGCACATTTGAGAAGCCTCAGTGTTGCCTATGCATTGTTGTCTTAATCATGCCAAGAAGAATGGTAAGATACATATTTGTGAGTATGCTCATTTTGAGTTGACTAGTTTTTGGCACACAAACACTGATGATTTTAACTTTATTTTTGGGTTTATTTTGTTTGATAACTACATTACCTTGCGGTATATTGTTTCTTGTGTTTCTATTTAAGGGCATGGCATGCCTTTTATCATGCTTGTGGTTGACCTGTTGGGGTGCCATTTTTGTGCTTAAGAAAATCAGTGAGGGATTCATGATTTCCTAAAAACAATTTGATATCTGAGGTATTTATATGATATATTATCTTCCTTCCAGGTTGTTAGAGACAAACGGACCGGCAAAACAAAGGGCTACGGATTTGTTAGCTTTGCTAACCTCTCTGACCTTGCAGCCGCACTTAAAGAAATGAATGGTGGGCAGTATTATAATCATAGCCAAATCTGAATTACTTTTTTTGGCTTCCTTGATGATTATATATGTTTGTACCCTAAGAGTGTACACTTTTCTGATAATGTGTTGCAGGTAAATATGTTGGAAATCGACCAATCAAGCTTCGTAAGAGTAATTGGAAGGAGAGGATAGATCAAGAAGCCCTTGTAAGACAAAAGGTACATATACACTTCCACTCGTTTCTTTCAAGCTTTTTCCCCAAACCTTTTGTGCCATTTTTATTGGCATAATGACAAAAAATACACCTAACGTGGCTAAAGTAACTACTTAGTCAATCGTTAATGACATTTTTACCCTAAAATGAAATATTGAGGGTCAAAATGCTAAAAAATAATAGGGGTAAAAATGACTATTTAGTCAAACATTAGGGGGCTATTTTGGTATTATGCCTTTATTATTCTAACTTTGGGTATCTGTTTTGATAAATTCATTGGCAGAACCATTATCAGAAAAAGCCAAAGCCACAAAAGAAAGGGATATTACACAAGTGAGCAGCTCTGATAAAACTTTCGGCCTTGCTTTTCTTGTATCAGAACGACCCACCAGTTGAGCCTGTTTGACCTGACTGCACCATTGGTAGTCAAGTATGTGTTGCTACTTAACAATTCTATTGTTAAAATCTGGTAGTTGTAGAGTATTGTGAAACTTTATTTTAATAGAATCCAGCATTCAAACACAAAAATCAAAACGCTTGTGTTTGTGTGTTTCTTCAGCAAATTTCATCTTCGAACAAATAATAAAATTCAATCGTTAATAAACAAAAGCGCAGAGAAATAGCAGATTTAAGTAGAATTTTAAGTAGAAGAGTAGAAAAATAGAGAATAATAAAGAATGTCTCGTTGTTGTTTTTTTATTCACTTAAAATGCATATTTGTAGTATAGCATATTAGTGTTGTGTAATTTTTTATATCAGATATTATTCGATCTAAAATTTTGAATATCCGGAGATTTTTATCATTGTATTTGATCAAAAAAATTGAATATCTAATTTTTCAGATCAAATATTCGGATATCCATATCTGAACATGAAAGTTAATTTGAGAAAGGTTTTAGGGTAAATTATGCTATTGACTACTTAACTTTTGTTATCTTTCACTTTAATCATCAATCTAATTTTCATTTTTAAACTTTACTTCCAGGAAAATTTATAGCTGAGAAATTTGAAGTCTGTCATTAGTGTTGTTTAGGGTTGTTTAGGATTATTTTCTGTTTCTCTGTTTCTGTTTGGGGTGCTTTTTAGGCTGTATCTTATGTAATTTCTTATGTTGAATAAATTCCTAAGACACTCTTTTTCTCCTTCGGCTGATTAAGGAGCTTCTTTATAAGCTTCATTAATCAAGAAGAGGGTTTTTAATGAGGTCTGAAATTCTTATAAAAAAAATCTGTCATCCAAGCATATTCAAAGAAATTAAGAGTCTTCACAGGGAAGAAAGTGGCTTTAACTATGGTTTTAGTCCCCTTATTATGATAAATCTCGAAATTAAATTCCTCTATTTTAATTTCGAAAAAAATAATGTTTTTATTGCATAATGTCACGAGGTAACGAGTTTCAAAAAATATATATTTTTATTAAAATTTATCACTTCGAGGTAAAAAGTTATAAAAAAATATTTTTTATTAAAACTTATCACCTCGATATGACGAGTTTTATGTCACCGTAAAAAATATCATAGATCCAAAAATAAATTTTTACTTGCCCTATTAGGCTAAATAAAAAATTCATATACCTTACTAGGCCAATTTTACCTATAATTGACTCTTGAACTCAATTATTTTTGAGAAATGAAATTGTAGGTGTTCAATTGTGCTCAACCTAAAACTATCGATGATAATCGTATTTTATCGATTAAATATATTCTAATAATTTTTTTTCGAATCTAAGAACAATTTTGAGAAATTTTATAGCCTCACTCGATCGAGCACGTTGTTAATAACCTTTCAGAAAGCAATAGTAAATCATGCAGATAACAACTTATATTTTCCATTTACGTGCATGTTAATAACTTTTTATTCCCTTCATGTCCCTTGTTTTCGTGTTAACTGACTGCAAAATTTATCTCATTTATCTTAGTTAAACCGGTTAAGAAAAATTACAATCAAGCCCGTCTAGCTCAGTTGGTAGAGAGCAAAGCTCTTAACGATATTAGGTTCAAGCTCCACGGTGGGCGAATTTTTCAATAATTAGGGGTTTTTCCCAGCATTTTGAGGAAAGGAATAATGTCACCTTTATGCTCTAATGTTTTTAAGTTTATTCAGTTTAGCCATTTTACTTCTCATAATTCTGTTTTCACCCCATCTTATATCTTTTTTATGCATTTTACTCCACAGTGCTAAAAATAAAAAGTTCGTTGACGGTGGTTCATCATCTCACAAGACCCACCAATCAATTTATTGTAAGTAAAAACATCAAGGCTCCCCATGTTTCTCCAAGATTTCCATCACCCTGATATTTTATCAATATTCCTCCCCATTTAAGAACCCTTTGATCATTGGCTTAGTTTACGAGATTTTGATGACTTGAAGGTGAATATAAAAATTAGGCCTCTAATAAAAAGTATCGAAGAAAATGAATTGTAAGAGTAAATAAAAATGAATTAATTTACTACCTTTAACAAATTGTCTAATGAATACATCAACTTTCAAATAGAAAACGTCAAAAAATTATTAAATAATAAAATAAGAATTACATGAAAATTTAAAAAAATATATAATATCATCAATGCTTTTAATTTCGTAACCATAAAGACCAAAACATAAATAAAACACAACATCATGTATGATTTTAAATAATAATAATTAAATGATTAAAACAAAAATTAAGTAATTAGTGGGCGATGAGAGAGATAATTTACTTTTTTAATTATATGTGAAATTCTAAAATTTGGGGTCCTATCCAGGCTTGGGATTCTTTAAAATCAAAGGATAAGATTACTAATATTATGTTTAGAACTCTCATGGCTCAAGCAACTCACCATGTGAACATGAATTTGAAGTTGGTTTTAGTTGTTGTGGTGTATGGACTATTTTATCAATTTTATATGATAGACTTTATATTATTTTTTATAACTATAGCTCTATTTTATCGAATAAAATTAACAATTATCTATATATATATAGTGTCGGGTTGAATTGGATGTGGATTTTACCTTAAAAGGTGATTCGGGTAAAATTATCTTAAACTCCGATCAAATTTTAGATGGAAGATGTATTTTTATCGAGTTAGATTAATCAAACCCCCGATTCAACCTGGTCCATCCTTTGTTCTAATGTTGCACGATGAATTATATGGTACAAACGAAACGACCTCAGTGATAAAGAGAATGTTGATATTCCTTAAGGTCCCGGATTCAAGACCATGAATGTCAAAGGTGTGAAGGTCTAATGTAATATCCCAAATAACGGGTTAGTGACTAAATTGTAAAAATTTAGAATTTGGTGATTAAAGTAGAATAATTAAATAGTTTAAAAACAATTGTTAGTAAATATGAAATGAAATAAAGGACAAACTGGTCATTTGCAAGGAAAATTTATAATTAAGAATTTTGATGGGGTTATATTATAACCCACGTGGGGCTTGAGTAGGAAACAAATGTTTCCAGATCTCTCTCATCTCTTCTTCCTTAATTTCTTATCTTCTTCACTCTTCTCTTCTTCCAAACGTGAAGACCCAAGCTTAAGGTAAGAGTCAGAACCTTGGTCGTTTCTTTGATTTTTAGCTTGGAAGTTGAAGTTTGGATGTTATATAAGCTAAAGGAAAGCTTATATGACATTAAGACAACAAGATAAGTGTTTTAGAGATAGATTTGGAAAATGGGTTTTTAGATGAAATTTTGATATGGATGAGTTTTTGAAGTTAGAATAAGATTTTTGACTTGTCAAGAAGTTAATTAAGGAATATGGAGTGTTAGAATTGGATTTAAAACATGTTGAAAATTGGGTATGATTTTTAGCTTTGAGAATTTGAATGAAGCATGAGAGATTTTAAAGTATTGGAATTGATAGAAGTTAATTAAAATGGTTGTAGTTAAGTTTGGTGGTATGAAAGGAACCTTGTCTGAGAAATTTAGTGAAGAGTTGATGATCTTCGAGTTTGAACAGTAAAATTTTAGATTATGCAAAGGGAATCGATACCCCTTGGGGGGAATCGATACCCCTTGGGGGGAATCGATTCCCCCTAAAAGAAAATGTTGAAGTTTGGTTTATTAAATTAGTTTAAGTTGTTAGTATCAAATTACAAGGGTTAGGCTTCTGATAAATATCTTGAAAATTATGTTTATGTAGATATATAAAACGTAATTCTATTCCGGAACAATCGAAGAGTTAGGATTGAAACAACGAAAGCGAGGCCAAGGTGAGTGCCTATTTTAAGGGTAGTACAATGGAATAAGACTTGTGATAAGTCTAATCCTATGTTGATTTTTATAGAACAATAGTTATGAACATGCATACATGATAATTATTATGATACATGCATAAGGTATATATGCTCATATGATTTGATAAATGATATGTGAATAAATTCGAATGTATATGATATGAATGAGCACATAAACATATGAAATATAAGAATGATGCCCATAGTATACGATATGAGGGCTATAGGTATAGTTGGCATGCCAAGAGTCGAGGGTTTCATAGGTCCTTCGGGACAACTCATAGGTCCTTCGGGACATATTCACATGTCCTTCGGGACAAATTTCATATGCCACTCATTGGGACTTATACGAGCTGTGGTGACAGCAATAGTGCACAACCTCAATGTACTCGAATACCTTGAGTTCTCAGTAATGTACATGGGCTTATAGAATGTTATCAAAGGTAATTGCATTATTATTGTTATATGTTATATCATTGAATGGATAGATCACATGTTCATATTTATAAGGAATACATCATCATTATATTTATATACCTCACTAAGTCTATGACTTAGCGTGTAAGTGATTTACACGTAGGTACAGAAAAGTAAGAAGATCGATCTTAAGAGCAGCAACGCATCATACCATCATTAGGGGATCAGATCAGAAGTAAACAACAAAGTATGTATTTTATTTGTATAAAGTATGTTGGCATGTAATAAGTTGTTAGATACGAACACTCTGATCGACTTTTCTAATGTTTTTAAATGTAATTATGTAAGTGTATAATAATGAACGGATGAATTTTTACGAATTTTATGTACATTTTTACGGAAGTACTGTAGCAGTACTGTAGCAGGGGAATCGATTAGGGAATCGATTCCCTATTTGTAAACTGGAAAATTTAATATTTCGGGTACTGTAGTAGGTTACTGTTCACGGTACTGTAGCAGATTATTGTTTATACGTATTTTATTGTTCGCAAATATATTTTTTTACCTCCAAATTTTATACTGAATATAATTTAATAATATATTATCTTATTTTCATAAAATAAGTTCAAATATTTTGTTATTTTATAAGGAAAATTATTTTAAAAAGGTAATGTCACATCTCGGACTCGTACTCGGGTCGGGTACGGATTAGGGGTGTTACATTTAATATCAAATAATTGAGAATTTTACTTAAACGAATATTACCTTATAATCTCCTATTAATAATAATAATAATAATAATAATAATAATAATAATAATAATAATAATAAGGTGACGTTTGGTTCGCTGGAATGTTTCTGAGGGAATTGGAACCTGTGAAGGAATTGGAATTTGT